CCTCTTCCTGGCCACGAGGGGGCCAGGAACACTTAGAAACGATCACAATCAGAAATGAGCACAATTAGAAATGAACGACGTGTAGCCTAGTTGTCATTGCGCTTGAGACTCGATCAAAAACAAGTATATCTTAAGGGCTTCGCCCTCTGCCGCCGGCCCCCCTATTACTAGTGCGGGCGGCTGTCGGGGGTCTCCTCGGGGATCTCCTTGGGAACTCTTGGGGGGTGCCTCTTGGGGGTCTCTTGGGGGTCTCCTTGGGGCCTCTCGGGGGTCTTCTTGGGACCTCTTGGAAACAATATTTTGGGTCTGGGGGTCTCCTTGGGGCCTCGTGGGGGCCCCCTGTGGGCCTCTTGGGGCCTCTGGGGACCTTCTCGGGGCCTCCTGGGGCCCTCTCGGGGCGGAAAGGTTGAGTTTTTGGTTCGTGGACTCCCTCTTGGGCCTCTCTTGGGACCGTCTTAGGGCCCTTTTGGGCCGTCTGGGGTGCCTCTTGGACCGTCTTGCGGCCCGCTTCGGCCGTCTTGGGACCGTCTTGGGGGTCTCTTGGGCCGTCATGGGGGTTTCTAGGGCCGTCGTGGGGCGATCTTCCGTCTCGGAGGTCAGAAAGGCGAAAACGCGAGAAGGCCAAAAGCCTTCATGATTCATAAAGCCAAAGGCCGAGAACATGTCAGGAAAATCATGGATGTTTCCTTCGTAGGGCCCTCTTGGGAGGCCGCTTAGAGGCCTCCTGGGCCGTCTTGGGAGCATCTTAGGTCGTCCTGGAGCCATCGTGGGACATCTTGGGGCCATCTTTAGCCGTCTTGGCCTCCCGAGGCTCCCTCCGGCGCCTCGTCGGGCTATCATCCTGGAGGCCTCTCGGGCTGGTCTAGCCGCGCGGTGGCGTCGCCGTGCGAATCCTGGGGTGACCCAGAGCAGCCTGGATTTGAGGCTCCCCCCCCCCGTTGGCTGTTTGGTGACGCGGCGGGGCCCCTGAGCAGACAGTAAACAGGAGACAGGGAACAGGACTGGAGAGACAGAAGGCCGAACAGCAAAGGACAACACACAACACACGACAGCAGACCGCACACACCTTGCGCAGCCTGGCGCCCCCGGAAGGGGGCCGGCGGGTGTCCTAGAAACTTCGTCTTCAGAGCACAGCGCATTGTGGTCGGGGCCCTGAAGAAGGAACCCTTTTCGTTGGGGAGGGGCTCCGCGTTCCTGAAGTGTTTCGCAGCTTGCCTCAGGTTGTCCCTTATGTTTTCGATCGGAAATCGAAGTTTAACTTATGGAAAAAAGGGGCCTCGTTCCTTATTTAGGGTTCCTTAGGTCAACGCCCCGACTGTAGCGTGTCGCTCCGCCGGCTCTGGCCCACCACGCTTCGGCGCGACGCGCGAGGCACTGGGGCCGCATGGGCCGTCCTGGGGCCGAGGAGGAGGAGGAGGAGGCGGAGGAGGAGGAAGAGGAGGAGGAGGAGGATGAGGATGAGGAGGAGGAGGAGGAGGAGGAGGAGGAGGAGCAGGCCCTCTTGGGCCCCCAGCGTCCACGCCCCGAGCTTTTCCTGGCCTCCCGCCCCGCGGAGCGGTGCGGCGGGCTATCCACTCGCAGGGCGTACAGTCGGGGCCCTGAAGAAGGAACCCTTTTCCTTGGGGATGGGCTCGGTGTTCCTTGATTATTGTGCAATTTGCTTTAGATGTTCCTAAGGTTTTCCATGGGAAGTCGAGGTTTAACTTCTGGGGAAAAGGGGCCTCGTTCCTTATTCAGTAGGGTTCCTAGGGCAACGCCCCGACTGTAGCATGTCGCCGGGGCCGCCGGGGCGACACGCTGTCTAAAAGTTCCCGGCCGTATGTCTTTGAAGCTCCGTCTTTAGAGTGCACAGACGTGCGCTCGTGTCTGGTAATCGATGAAAGCTCCGATTTAGCGTCGACTCGCGTCGATTCGGCGTAGGTCAGCGTCGGTCAGAACCGATCGGTTGGCGAGCGTCGATTCGCAAGAGCCAGCAAGATGCTACGGGCGGCTCCCGTGAGCCGTTGTTTTCCACCGCCGCGCACGCGCCACGCCAAGCGACCAAGTGTCAGCCCATGAGTTGCCACCGAAAGGTCCCTTCCCTCTGCTCCTGCCGACCCCGGGCGCTCTGAAGCAGGCATGTCTTCGACCTCTCGCCCCTCGGGGGTGTCGGGCGGGGCCAGGGCCAGGGATAGAGCGCTCGCGAGCGTTCTGGATGGCCTCCAGAGCTTCCCGGAGCGCCCTGGAACGGCCGCGGCACCCGACACATCCCCAGGCCACAGCGTGCGGAGAGCCAGGGCGGATCCGGGGTGACCGCCCTGTTTTGGGACTCGGGTCGCTCTCCGAGGATGTCTCGAGCGACGGGGGCCTCCATGGTCTCGAGGTCGCGCGGTGACGGACCGCGCGGTGAGGTCTCCTGGGGTTTCGAGGTCACCGCACGGTCTGTCGCCGCACGGCTCCGGGGCGCCAGACTCCTCCAGAGCCGCCGGATCTCAGAGGTCCCCGACGCGTTCCGTTCCGAGCCTGTCCCGGTCCTGGCTTCGTCCTGCTGGGGAGGCTGGCGGAGGGCGCGGGGAGCGAAGGAGCCCGCGGGAGGCAGGGGCGCGGGCGGCCCAGGCTGCCGACCCCAGATCTCCGACGACCTGCTTTTTGCTTCCGGCGGTTGTGTTCGCCCGCAGCCGTGCTCGTTCAAGAGGGGGGGGGGCCAAGCACAATGCTGCCGCCGGTTCAGCTTGAGCGTTGCCAGCGCCACGGGCGTGGCGAGGCAGCCTTCGAGAATGACGAGCCAGCCATCCGCGCGAGGGCGACGTCGGGCGGCCGGGTGAAGAGGGGGCTCTCCAAGATCCCGACCCCGATCACTTCGCCGCGGGACCCTCCCTCGGAGCCGCACGCGTGGGCGGACTGCGTGCGCAGTGCCGTGCGCCTGGAGCTGGAGGCGTTCTTCGGGGAGCGCGGAGATGTGAGCAAAGCCCTCGCTCTCCACGGCCAGAGCCCCCCCAGGAGCGACGTGGTGTCCTCGCAGGTCCATCGCGAGAGGCCCTCGATGGGCCGAGCGGCCACGATGGACCTCGACGACGTCGAGAGCGAGGGTCCACCCCTGGCGAGCCTCGTGGCCGACCGCCTCGGGAAGTTCGCCACCAACGAGTCGTGCGTCGAGGTGGGTTGTGGCCGAGACGGTGTGAAGACGGACTTTTTCGATGATGGTTATGCAGGGCAGACGGTGACGCTGTGGACGCGTCTCGTGGAGAAGGCGAAGGCGTGCTGGATGATGGAGGAGCTGCAGCGCGATGGGCGGCTGGCCAAACTGGTGGCATCTCGGCAATTCGAGAGGACGGTTCAAATACTGATACTGCTCAACTGTGTAATCATGGGCATCGCAGCAGATTATAGCATCAGGCACGCGCCTAGGTCGACGTCGAGTGATACCTTCGAGCGGACGATGGTCATATTCGATATAGTCTTCCAAGTGGCCTACACTGTCGAGTTGGTCCTGAAACTGACCGTGCATCGCTGGTTCTTCTTCTGGAACGAGGACGCTTCGTACAACGTGTTCGATCTGTTTCTGGTGGTAAGCGGATACGTAGACCTGCTGTTTGACTCCGGCAGTGGGTCTGTCGCGTTGCGCCTTGTTCGGCTCCTCAAGCTTGCGAAGGCATTGCGCGCTCTAAAGATTGTCGCAGGGTTCGATACGCTACGGGCTATTCTGGTCTGCATCCAAGGGTCATTCAGGACTCTCTTGTGGAGTATGCTCATGCTTTACATCGTGTTCTACATTTTCTCTCTGATATTCGTCCAGCAGGCCGCAGCGAAGATTCAGCAGATTGGCGACCGGGAAGACGATTTGGCCTCAGAGCTTCTCGGGTCCTTTTCCAGCGTGATGCAGTCTATCGTGACGCTCACCAAGGCGGCATTCGGCGGGGAGGACTGGGGCGTAACCTACGATCTCCTCGTGCAGTGTGGCTGGGTGTCGAGCTCCATCTTCATGCTCTTCGTTGCGTTCACGCAGGTCGCAGGAAGGGGAGGGGCAAACAAGGTAGGAGGCGCAGCAGCAGCAGCGAAGAGTCCCAAGTGCAGAGCGGCAGCGTGTGTGCAGGGAAGAGAAGTGATCTCACGCAGGATCGCGGGGGAGCACGGCGTAAGGAGGAGCAGGGAGGGGAGGGAAGCATCATAATATAGAAGTGCGAAGAGCAAGAGGTGGGAAAGACGGAGGACTGCTGAAGAGTCAGGAGGAGGAAAGGGAGAGGGTGCACAGCCAGCCCGCACAGCGAGGATGGGCAAGCTTCCCGAGCACACCCTTGCATCCTTGCCTCCTCGGCCCGCCCTTGGCGGCTTTCGCACGCCAATCTCGCTCGAGAAACGTTCACATGGCCTTCCAAGGCCCTTGCATCCCTACCGGCTATCCTTATGATACGGACCGGCTGTACGACTGAGCGCGGCCATCTCGAAGACCGTTGCTCGTACCAAAGGGGAATCATTCCGTTCACGCAGGTCGCTTTAATCAACATCATCACTGGTATAGCGAAGGCCTTACGGCTGGTGCCGCCAACCCTGAAGAGGAACGACGACGACGAAGAATGCGACGATGAAACAACTCAAAAAGCTTTGGACAGATCGGTCGGCGATTCGGGGCCCTCGTGGACTGTGGTTGGGAGCTTTGGGGGCACTCTTGGCCCGTCTTGAAGCTTTTCTGCGGCCCGGGAGCCCCCGGAGGGGAAGCGTATCTGACCCAGGCCCCCCCCGGGTCCTCACCTGGGACCCCCACCCCCCCTGGCCGGAGATGGATCAAAGGGAATGGGTTTCACTTCGAGTGTATGACGACGTTGCTCAATTTCGCTGTGGCTGACGCGCTTGGGGAGGAGGGCCCAGGAAAAAAGACAGGAGTGGCGAAGGGCACAGGGAAAGGAAAGCGCTGGGAAAGAGGACGACAGTGACGACGATGAACGAATGATGGCGACGACGACTCGAACGGAAAAGCCCCTCACAGACGTCGACGGGGTCGGCGGATTTTTGTCGACAGTGCCATGCAGAGTCTGATGCCGAGCAGGGAGCAAATGGCGATCAAGCTCAACGAAGAGGAGAAGGCATTCTCCGAGGAACTCGAGAGGCTCTGCATCGCTGTGGACGCTGACCGCAGTGGTTTTCTTACCAGGGACCAGTTTGCCGATGGAATTAACAAGGGCCGCATACCGCTACTCTTGCATTTATTGGGGCTCGACCAGGATCATGTGCAGAACTTCTTCGAGGTGCTGTGTTCCACAACGGCAGACAATCAAGTCGACATCAAGAGCTTTGTCCGCGGCTGCATGAGGCTCAAGGGACCCGCGACCAGCTTCGACCTGCAGATTGCGATTTCAAACATCGCAGATCTCGAAAGGAACAACGCCAGGGAGTTCCGTAATCTGAAGCGGCGGATTGACCGAATCGAGAGGGTCGACGCGGTAGACGTGGCGACTTCCCAGAGGAGCTCCGTCTATGTCGGCAGCAGCCACGACCCCCTTTGATGGGCCGCGGGAGCTCGGCACCCCGTCCGCCACTCTCTGATCCGCAGGTGCGGCGCTCCTGTGGATGACGGGGGACGGCGCCAAGGGGGAGGATGGGAGAGATGAGATGTGGAAAGAGCGCCCGCTGGGCGGGGGTTATACGGGGAGAAGGAGGAGGAGGAGGAGGAGGAGGAGAAGGAGGAGGAGGAGGAGGAGGAGGAGGAGGAGGAAAAGGGGGAGGAGGAGGAGGAGGAAAAGGGGGAGGTGGTGGAGGAGGAGGAGGAGGAGGAGGAGGAGGAGGAGGAGGAGGAGGAGGAAGAGGAGGATGCGCTGGATTCTGTGTGTCTGGGGTGGTGGTGCGCAGGTAAGAGAGAGGTCGAAGCAGAGCCACGGGCTCGAGCTGCGGAGGTCCTGCGTGCTCACTGCACTTGGCTGGACGGTGCATGCACTAATCCTCCTCCTCCTCCTCCTCCTCCTCCTCCTCCTCCTCCCGTCACCCTCCCCCTCCTCCCCCTCCCCCCCCTTTTCCTCTTCCCCCTCCTCCTCCTCCTCCTCATCCTCCTCCTCCTCCTCCTCCTCCTCCTCCTCCTCCTCCGCTGCGGAATCCACAGCAGAAATGTGGCTGTGACGGGCAGCAGGCAGTTCCCTTGCTGAGGCGAGGCAGTTTCGTGGCTGAGCGAGGCTGCCTCTTTCCCTCTCTGCTGGATAACGCGTTGTGTTGAGCTGTAACCTATTCCAATCGGATTTGGAGTTCCTGCCCCTTGCCATCTCCTTCTCTTCCTCCTCCCATCAGTCCCCCGCTTCTGGCTCCTCCTCCTCCTCCTCCTCCTCCACTTTCCCATGCACGGAAATACCCAGGCAAGCATTGTCACGGGTATTTTAGCTCCAGGTGTTTTTATGTTCTCAGGCCAAGGTTCTTTGCACGGGCTTGCCTGTTGCAGGTCGGCGTGGCGCCCCTGGCTTGCCTGGCGTCTCTCTGGCTCGCAAATAGGCATCGATAGCAGAAGCATCGAGCGTAGCGAAGCTAGCGCAATAAATAACGGCCCGCACCCACCCATTGTTGCAAGCGCGGTGGCGGATGGTCGGGACCGTGCTTGGTCCGAGCCTGTCTCGGGCGTGTGCATTGGCCACGCCCCACGGGGCGCTGCCATTCTGGCTGGCCAACCTCGCCCGCAGCCTCTCATTTCCTCCCCTCCCCGCGCCGCTACCATGACGACAGCGATGACCGGTCCTTCCATATTCCGCAAGCGCATGGCCTCCACAGAGGGAGCCATGTTTAGTCAGAGCCGTTGCTTGGGGCGCGCTGCATTCGTTTTTTGTCTATGTCGTCCTCCGGGGCTGTGCCGATCAAAATAGGAGATGTGGCGAGGAGCTGTTCCCAGGGAGCTGGGCCGGAGCTCCGGGGGGCGCAGGTGGAGCGGAGCAATTCGTGGAGGGTCTGGAGGTGCTCCCGGCCGGAGTTGACGTTAGAAACGCTCGTGGTGTCTTTCTTGTTTTTTTTTTTTTTCCTCCAAGGCAATTTCAGTTTACGGCCAACCAGACGAAGCAAGCCACGGCAGCCCATAAGCATAAAAAGCAACGGCAGTGCAACACATAATCGAATTCCGCACGGCACAAACGATCATCCCCGAACGGAAACAAGCGCCTCCCAGAGCGAAAAATAAGCACGCAGTTGTTTAAACATTCAAGAAATATGTGTTTAACATCATCAAAGCTCCTGGCCCAGGTTTCCTTCGATTTTCACAGCGCTCTGGGGGCCCTTGGGACGTCCTGGCCTCGCGAGGGGTGCGCTTGGCCCCCGGGGCCTCCCAAAAAATCCTGGGGACGCTGTGGGCCTGGGGCACCTTTGGCTCCAATGCAGTCTCAGGGGGTCGTCTGGGGATCGCTCTTCCGCCCCTCCCTTTCCTCCATCCCTCCCGCCTCCCTCTCCCTCTTTTTTTCTCCTCATCCTCCTCCTTCCTCCTCATCCTTCCTCCTCTCTTCTTCGCCTCCTCCTCCTCCTCCTTCTCCCCCTCCTCCCCTTGGGTTTCGGAGGCTGCCTGACTGCGCTGGAGCTGGCGGGCGGAAAAGATACAGGTGCCCCCCCCCTGAGAGGTCGTCGACGCGCCGGTCTTTGCCAAGGCTTCTCGTGTCGCCCGAGGTGTGTCGGGAGGAGGAGGAGGAGGAGGAGGAGGAGGAGGAGGAGGAGGAGGAGGAGGAGGAGGAGGAGGAGGGCGTCCATGACAGGAGGCACGTCAAGCAAGCCGGGCTGCCAGCAGGTGCCCTCGGACGTTGCTCATCCCCCGATGGCGCTGGGGACCCGCAGGCGCCCGGGGGCACCATCCGGGAGCTCTCAAAGCTCGACGACTCACACGCGTGTGCAAGTCTGCTACAGGGTCCAGCCGGTATTGACTAGTACAGGTTGGCGTGGACATGCACTCTCCAAGGTCTGCGCGGACTTCTCGGAGGGGCGCTTGACCTCTCTGGCGGCGCCTCCCGTGCTGCCCCTGTCGCGCCCCGCGCGCCAGGCAGGGGGTCCAGCGTCGACCCAAGAAGTCCGCGCGAACCTCTGGGAGTCTGTCTCTTTGTCGAGGTGATTCTCGCAGGCCTAGAGATTGACCCCAACACCAATATCGGCGGTGTGCATCCACCGAGGGAAGACGATCCCGATCTCGGTGATGGTGGTAATATTCTGGCTTCCAAGGTGACCGAAATATTACCACCAACACCGAAATCTAAGATCATCACCTCCCTGTGGAGGCAAACCCCTGTGCTGGTGTTGGTGCCAATTTCCAGGCCTACAAGTTCGAGCGCTAGGCCAACATGCTGCACAGGGGGACGAGGCGAGCGAGTCTGAGGATTACAAGCCGGTCGCTCTGCGGTAGATCGGGAGTTTCTGCACATAGAAGAAGGGACGCGCGCTTCTCGGCGAGAGGAAAATTTAAATGGTCGAGATGAGAATGAGCGCGAGGATCAGGAGGGCGAGGCCCGCGAGGGGGAGGATCAGGAGAGCGAGGGTCACGCGGGCGAGGATCAGGCGAGCGTGGAGCAGGAGAGGGTGAGGATGTGGAGAAGGAGAGCCAGGAGAGCGAGGATGGCGAGAATGAAAATCAGGAGGGTGAGGATCGGGCGGGCGTGGCGCCCCCAGCTGCCATGCTGGCAATCTCCTCCTCCTCCTCCTCCTCCTCCTCCTCCTCAGGGTGCTTTAACTCCTCCTCCTCCTTCTCCTCCTCCTGCTCCTCCTCCTCTTCCTCCAATGCCTCCTCCAACTCGACTCGTCCTCCTCCACCTCGTCCTCCTCCTCCGTCTCCTCCTTTTCCTTTTCATCCCTCTTTTTCCCCCCAGGGATTTTCCGGACGTCGCCTGAAACAGAACAGGGGGGCCTCTGAGAGCCCCCTTGGGGATTCGAGGCTCACGGGGCCGGTTTGTCTGAGAATGTCCCACGTGAGGGCGCCAGTTTGGAATTCTTCGCCAGATTTCCATGAACTCGCCGGATTTCCCGAGTCTCGCCGGAAACGGAGGCCTGATTGAGGAGGCTCGGGGGGCCGATTGTCCGGATGTCCCACGCGAGGGAGCCAGAATTCGTCGACGGATTTTCCGGATTTCCCGGACCTCTCCAGAATCGTAACAGGAGGACTTCTGAGAGCTTCCTTGGGGAGGCTCCAGGGAACGGTTTTTCTGAGGGCGGGCGCCAGTTGTTTGGGGTTCGTCGCCTGCTTCGCCGCGTTTCCCGGATCTCGAATGACACGGAACAGAGAGGCGGATGAGGCTCTGGGGACGGTTTTCTGAGGTTGTCCCACGCGAGGGCGCCGGTTTGGAATTCGTCGCGAAATTCGCCGGATGTCCCGGATTTCCGAAATGTCGCTGGCGAGAAACGGAACAGGGGGACCAGGGCCTCTGCGGAGGCTCCAGGAGGATGTTCCACGCGAGGGCGCTGGTTTGGAATTCGTCGCCCGATTCACCAGATTTGCCAGATTCGCCGGATTATGCCTGAAACGGATCAGGGCCCATGGCAGGGGTCTCTGAGGGCCTCCTTGGGGAAGCTTCGGGAGCGGTTTCTCTGAGGATGTCTCACGCGAGGAAGCCGGTTTGGAATTCGTTGCGGGATTCGCCGGATTTTCCGGATGTCGCCTGAAACGGGAAAGCGGTGCTTCGAAGGCCTCCTTGGGGAGGCTCTGGGAGCGGTTTTTCTGAGGATGTCCCACGCAAGGGCGCCAGTTTGGAATTCGCCGCCAGATTTCCCAGATTCGCCGGATGTCCCAGACGTCGCCTGATACGTAACATTGTGATGGAAGACGCCTCAGAGAGGAGGGGTTCAGGTAGGAATCGCCGAATTATGAAAAAAAATGAAACAAATACGGAAAAAATGTGAACTCATGAAAACATCAAATTGTACAAAAAATGTCTACGCGATTTTCGAAATTGCGAGAGCCAAGATTGCTCTGCTCGCGCGACCACCGCATGAACGCGAGGGGGTAAGACCTTGTTCGGGACGTTCGGCTACAAACCCTTCCGCGAGAAATGGTCAGCCGCGGAAGCGAGATGCCGTTTAGTAGGTCCATTTGCAGAAATGAAATGTTTCGACAGATTGAATAGGGGCCGCGCGATTCCGACGCGAGGTAGCAACGCGCTCGTCGCTGATGCAGTGTACGCCAACTGGCTGCGAGAACTCGCCCTCCTCCTGCCAATAAGCGAATGGTCGACACAGTAGACGGCACTCGCTGCAGCTACTTTCCTATGCGCTCACCCATCGGCGCGCAGGGCCCTGCAGGATCAACGCGCGCGTTGAAGTCGCGCCCGCTGCCATTGTGGCATTATCCGCGCGATGCCTTTAACATCCTCGTCGGTTTAGGGACAACGCTTGCGGTTCGGCTGCATCGCCTGCAGTCGACCTGGCACCATCTTGGGTTCGCAGCTTCATGTTTGCCCTGAACCTTGCGGCCAACGCTCTCGCAATTTGCGATGGGCCTTCGACGTCGCCCCCGTGCCCAGCAGGCGTTCGCCTGGGCACCTTGCGCACGAACGAAGTGCGCGCTTGTGTTGAAAAGTTCAGGACCCTCCATCCAATGTGGAATCGGCAATGCCTCACGTTGCCCTGCGCGGTCGAGGGCCATGGTTCCTCTGTTTGCGGGGCCTGCGCGTTCCCACTAGACATGGGTCCTTCAACCGCGCGTTCTGCGCTCTTGTCCTCAAGCGCCTGGCTCCGCTCGAAGTCGGGATGTGGGGGGCTCGCGGCGTGGCAGGGTCGCGTGGGGTGGTGGTCGGGCGGGGGGGGGGGGGGGGCGCGATCGGCGCGCGCTGTTTGTGCGGGATGGCGTGCGTTTGTGGGTGGCGGTGGCATCGGTTTGGCGGTCGTGGGGGGGCTCGCGTTGTGGTGGTGGTGCGTGCAAGTGCTGTTGTTGCACGTGGCGGTTGAGTGCGCGCGCGGGCTTGCGCGCGCGTGCGCGTTTGGCATCGCGCGTGCGCGTAGGGGGGGGGGGGGGGGGAACTCTTTCCATGGGTTGGTGGTCTGCGGGAGGTGCTGGGGGGTTGGGCTGGGCGAGCGCGTGGCGGGGTCAGTTTTTTGTGGTGGCGGTGGGCGCGCGGGAGGAGACACTTGGCTGTGACCATTCTGCGGCGCGCGTGCTCCCTCAGTCAGTATCGAATCATTCGGCCACAAGGGCAAGGGTGCAGATTTTGGGTTGCTGAGGGGGGTGCGGTTTTGTTTTGTCGTTTGTTTTTAAATTCTGCAAGGCGGAGGAGGAGGAAATGAAGGAAGAGGAACAGGAAAAGGAAGATAAGGCAACATAATCAGGGTGGCCTTGGTTAGCTAGCACGACAGGGCCTGGCAAATGTTCTCATGTACGCAGAAGCAAGGTATGGGGGGCCTTCTTGATTTTGTCACAATTTCCCAGGGTAGCGCCCGTCGCCCCCCGCTCCGCCCCGCTAGAAGGCAATCGGGTTTCCCTGGCGTTTGGCGTTCCTGGTCCGATTGTTTCCGTGGCAATCCTGCTACTGTGTCGGCCCTCAGAAAGGGAACCGCGCCGCCAGCGTTGCCGCGGGGGCAAAGGGCGACTGGGGACGCCTCGCCACGGTTCGCTCGTCAGCTCGTGTTAGATTGACAGGGATGTGGTGATATGTTTCCTCTCGCCGTCGTCCGCGGCCCCGAAATCCTTTCGTCCAGGTCTTGAAATCCAGCTCGGACACGCACGGGCGTGACATGTCATGGTGTGCATCACGTGCCCAAATATAGCTCAAACGCGGGCTCCGATGTCGATTTGTTCACATCTACGGGTTTCGTCGTTCTGCGGCTGTGCGCCCGCGGCCGTTGTGGATCAAGCCAGCTGGCTTCTTCGAGAATCTCGATTCCAGTTTTTTTCCCAGTGTTCGCGCACCGTGCGCATTCCATATTATTTCGCGGTTCGCCGCCTCCATATCATTCTCAGTGGATTGGATGAGGGTTCTGATTCTTCTCCACTTGGCGGCTGTTGCCGCTGCTATCCGCCTCGAGTGCGACACGTTGTATTCTCGGCCGTGCAGACGCGCGTGGACGATGGGAAAATCCTGGGGCCACAAGTCAGATGCAGCTCGCTCGGAGCAGAATGCACGGAGACAATCTTGGGGCGCAGCATCGGCACCGTTGTGCGGTCAGAGGGCGTCGTGGGCTTCCTCGGCTGGAGGCAGTGTTCGACGGTCCTGGTCTAGTCACGCGTCTTTCGGTGATGTTTCTGATTCTAGCCCCGATGCCGACCTGGATGCGCCGCTCGTTGAGGCACCAAGCGGTGAAGAGCACGCCGATGATGGTCTCATCGATTATGGTGGCGGTCTTCTGGGGTTCCCGACGCCAGAGCCAGCAGACGCAGATCTCGATCGCGATGGCGACGTCAGTGCTGGTATCGGTGGTGTTGCTGAAGATGCTGTTGCCAGCCGTCCCGTTTCACATGATGATGTTCTGGCAGATGATCTTGCGATAGTCGTTGCAGCACCAGTTGACAATCTTACTCATCAGATCGGTGTTGGTCTTCGTGCGACTTGCAATCCTAAAAAACTTGTCGGTGATGTTGTGTCTCAGGAAGATGACATATTTTATGGTGAACAGGATCTCATGAGCTCAGTTGCTCTTGCCAACAAGATTGGAGTGGAGAGACATCAACCGTCTGTTCGACGTATTCAGCTGGCTGCCGCTGGCCTCGCTCTGCAGAAGTATATGCACACGTCACTTCTTGAAAAGATGGTAACATCTGTGGTGCGAGATGGTGGTCAGCCCGTTCTTCTGGTGAAGCAGGTTCGTTACGATGAGACTCCGATGAGAATCAACGTCAAGGGCTCCAACACGTCATCTAAATCTGGGCCGCTTGTCGAGACGTCTGCGGATTTCTCCGATATCCCGAAGTTCTTGGCTGATCTTTTGAGAATGGAATCGTACGATTCGGTGCCTGCGAAGTTGCTTCAATCAGAGTGGCGGGTCTCAGCATTATTCCACATGCGTTCTGGAGAGTATGTGTTGGTGACGTTCGATGTTTTCGCCCCAGTGCAGGCTTTGGCGTCGACGTCGGCAGAAGATTATGTGGAAGCACTTTCTCGAACGGAGCCCGACTTAGGCCCATGTCAGAATCTATATCACTGCCTTCGGCAAATCCAGCTACCGTGCCAGCGTGGAAGGAAAGTGAGTTCGGGTGTTCTGTGGCATGTCGCCTGGGGGTCTCTCGAGGTGCTTCTGAAGCTATGGCGGATGCCTCCTGGAACTGTTTCGGGATCTGTTCGGTTCTTTTAGGGTATTGAAGGTATATGTGGGCGTCTGGGGGCCTCCTGGGAATCTCGCGTGGCCTCTTGCGGTTTCCCAGCGCTGGAGGGAGTCTCGGGGGGGGGGGCTCTGGGGCTGGGTGGTTTTGGTGCACTCCCCTCCTTGGGCGAAATGCGTTTTCAAGGTTGGTGGAGGGCTTCTGGGTACCAGAGCATTCATTCAGGGAGCAGCGATGAGATACGGCGTGGGCCTGCTGGGACTCCTGAAGG